TCTCCCCTCCCTGCTTCTCCTCGCCCAGCTGCCCACGTGGGGCTCTGCAGGTGAGTCTGTCCCTGTCCCTCCCTGGGGCTTCTTCAGGGAGTACTTGGAGCCCCCAGCCCTCTCAGTCAGGATGGGATGAGATTTGTGGGGGCCCAGGCTCTAGAAAGGTGATGGGGCTCCCCCAGCCATTATTTGTCATTATAAATTTACTGCCAGTCACTCACCAATAAACTGAGCGTATGGGATCTCGACAGTTGTCTAGGGTTTTTGGGTATTTAATTAATTAATTAATATTTTCAAAAGATTTATTGATTTATTTGAAAGATGGATTTACAGAGAGAAGGAGAGACAGATTATCTATTCACAAATTTATTCCCCAAAGATCTGCAATGGCTGGATCTGTGACAGGCTGAAGCCAGGAGCCAGGAACCTCCTCTGGGTCTCCCACCACGGTGCAGGGACCCAGGCACGTGGGCCATCTTCCACCGCTTTCCCAGACCCATTAGCAGGGAGCTGGATCGCAAGTGGAACAGCTGGGACATGAATCAGTGCCCAAATGGGATGCTGGTGTCACACGTGGTGACCTAACCTGATAGAAGGAAAATTTGTGATTAAGTACATCTTGTTTTCAGTGGAGAAGAAAACTACAGACAGAAACAATAAACTTAGGAGTCGAGGTGGGGAGCTTCCTGGTGTGGCTGAGTGGCCCAGGAGCTCTGAGGGAGGCCCCAGGGGTGCTCTGTGCTCAGTTCCCAGGCTTGTCCTCCCCCAGGCCAGGTTAGGGCCTTGGTGGTTCATGGACCAGGAGAGTCAGCTCCCTGGGGACTGCTCACAAACAGACATTGTTGGGCCACCCCAGACCGAGTGAGTCAGGAGTTCTGGGGGTGGGACCTGTGATCTGGGTTTTACAAACTGTCCTGTGGATTCTGGGGCACGCTCAAGGTGGAGACTCCCTGTGTAGCAATTTCTTCATGGGACAGCCTGGGGCCAGGGGCCAGGCTCACGAGGGCGTCTGTGACATCCGTTCTGGGCCACCACCTGTGGTCTGAGGATCTCATCCAGATTCAGAGTCATCACTGCTCAGTCCCTCAGCCTGGGGGTCACCTCTTCCAGCACCTGTTCCCGGTCTGCCTGTTCTTCCCCCGTGGTCTGTGTGTCTCTGCCCCCTGCCTGTGTCTCTCAGTGCTCAGTCTATTCTGTGTCCACAGATGAGTTCCAGGTGATTGGCCCCTCATATCCCATGGTGGCCGTGTTGGGTGGTGATGCCACTCTGCCCTGCTCCCTGTTCCCACCAATGAATGCAGAGGACATGGAGATGCGGTGGTTCCATACCAAGATCTCAGAAGTAGTGTTTGTCTATCAGAATGGCCAGAAAAAGAACAAGAAGCAGATGCCCCAGTATGCAGGGGGGACCTCGCTGGTTCAGATCTCTTAACCCAAGGGGCGGCTTCGTTGCACATCCAGATGGTCTGGGCTTCAGACAACGGGAGATACACCTGCTTCTTCCGGAAGGGAGGCCGCTATGCCGAGGCCATTCTAGAACTGCAGGTGATAGGTTAGTTGCTTGATCTGCACCTTGGGGGGTATTGGAAACTCACGTAATTAAACATCTCATTTTACATGTGTGGGTTGGATTTGGCTGGGTTTGCTCACACACTGTTGGTCTGGTTGTGGAAGTAAAACCAAAACCAAGGTTCTTTCCCAGCAATCCTCTTTGCAAAGGGACTAGAGAAAGACAACACTTTGATTGGTAAATAAAAACCAAACCAGAAAATATTACACATCACAGGAAATGCATTAAAAGTTTGCAAAGACAGAAAGAAATCTTTTTTGTGTGTGTCGCCAAGCAGATGTAATATGCATTACACACATTTCAAAAAAGCTTTATTTAGCTTTATACAACTTGGTGTTTGCTTCACACCATGGCACCCAAGGGCAGAGTGGGCATGGGAGGAAGAAGCAGATCTTTGAAGAGAATGGAGAGCCCTGAGTTCCACCTGTGCACCATCCTGGGGCCAACACCATCACTGCCTGTGACCTTAGTCTCCTTCTACTCAGTTCCTTCGTTTGGGGCCTCGATGGCCCTGGGCTTCAGTCTGGCAGTGTGTGGGGCCAGCAGCCGCTCTCTGAGCTCCTGGCCTGGGCAGCCTTCTCCAAGGATGGGGCCTTGATGGGTGGGGCGGGGACCCCACGTGGAGCAGGGCATGCAGAGCACCTCAGGGTGGATCCTGCTGACAGCCACCGGGCAGGTGCTCAGCTGCTCCTCCCTCCCCGTCTGGTCCTGCTGGGATCTGGCCCAGTCTGGGCCCCTCACCCCCAGTGGGTGAACGTGTGGGTCCCTGGTCCACGGAGAGTGTGGTGCCCCAGCACAGAGCACAGTGAGCAATGGCAGTGCTGGTAGGAGCAGTGGCCGATGCAGTGATGATAGCCCTGATGTGGCCCCGGCTGCTGGGCCCTTGTTGGCTCCTATCAGGCTACCTGGCCCCTGTTCATGGTGTGATGAGGTCCCAGTGTGAGGGTCAACAGCAGTCTGAAGTGTAGGGTTGTTGAATAAAAGTCCTAGGATGTCAAAATGTTTCATTTATTTTTACTAATTTGAAAGGTAAGTAACAGAGATACAGAGAGGCAAAGAGACCTCCCATATACAGATTCACTCCCCAAATGCTTACAACAGCTGGGATGTGGTCAGGCTGAAGCCAGGATCCCAGAACTCCTGAGTCTCCCATGCAGGTGGCAGAGACACAAACACTTGACTCCTTACCTGCAGGTTCCCCGCATGCATATCCAGGAAGCTGGATTGGAAGCAGAGGGAACTGGAACCCAGGCACTCAGATATGGGATGTGGGCATCTTGTGCATTATGTTAACTGCTGCACCAAATGCCTTCATTCATGTTTTCAAAATAAACAATTGATCTTCAAGTAAGAAGACTTGAAGCAGATATAATACCTGCTTATCACACAGAGCTCACCCTAACTGTACCCAGTAATTGTAGTGGCCAGCTATCTTAATTAAGAGGCTTTATCTGGAGGTAAAATAAACTTCTATTTTTTAAAAAAAAATTATTAGTTTTATTTTAAAGGCAGAGATACATAGAGAGAGAAGGTGGAAGAGAAGGAAGGGGAGAGAGACAGAGAGACAGAGAGGCACACACAGAGAGAGATAGAGAGATATTGTTCTTACACCTGCTGGTTCACTCCCCACTGGCGCCTGAGCCAGGCTGAATCCAGGATCCTGGAGCTTCGTCTAGGTCTCCTACATGAGTGCAGGAACCCATGTATTTAGGCCATCTTATGCTGCTTTCCCAGGCATATTAGCAGGGAGCTGGATCGGAAGTACAGCAGACAGGATTCCTACAGGTACTCATATGAGATGCCAGGACTGCAGGTAGAAGCTTAACTCTCTACACCTCAGTGCCAGCTCTACTTGTCCTAGTTTTATAATAGAAATTAATTTTACTTGCTGAAGTGAGGCTCTGATGCTTCCACAGAAAGGAGGAGAAGGGAGTACTGTCTCTTTATAAAATACATAATAAATAAAACTTACATATAAAACTTATGAAATAAGCAAAAATGTTTTCATTTCAATGTGTTTTCCTCAGGTCCCTAAGCAAGACATTCCTGGGTCATTAAGCTGGCCAGAGGCATATCTGTTTCTAATGATCATATTTCACATGAGGGGAAGTATTCATGGTTCCCAGTGCTATAAAGTCAACGCTCTGAGAAAACAGAGGAGAGGGGGAATTTCTCTTATTTTCAACAGGGAGAATGAGGTCTTACTTCAGTACTTACTGTTCTTGTAGTCAGCTGGGGAGGTCACCACGTGGGCCATGCCTGGGTGTGTTCCCATTCTTAACTGTCGGCGGTCCTAGGACAGCATCTCCCAGAGAGGCTGGGTGACCAGCAGTGCCCAGGAGTCTCATCCTGCAGTGGCTGCCCCAGGCCTGTCCTTCCTAAGGCAAAGGCAGAGGCAGAGCCAGTGACACAGGAGCTTTTCAAATCCCTCCTTAGGTCACATGGGCTGGTCTCTCATTGGCCAGAGTGAGTCACATGACCAACCTCAGAGCCAGAATGTGAAGGAGCTACAGCATGGTGGAGGGCCAGCTCCTCTGAAGAAGGATAAAGTACACGGGTATTTAATACTCAATTATCACACATAGGTCACAGTTGTGAACTCAGTTCTGAAATTGTGAGTTTCATGTCTGTAAGGAAACCTGGCAGAGATAACTCAGGGTGTGGATATGAGGGCAGGAGTGGGGACAGGGTTGTTGACTGGTGCAGTATTGGAAGTGATTTACAGAGAGAGGCAGGGGGAATCATAGCAGGTGCCCCAGGAGGGAGTGAGGTGAGGAGATTAGAGGTTCAGGATGGAGTCCTGGGGTCAAGTTCCTGCTCCTGGTTTCTCTGGGCCTCAGTCTTCCCATTTGCACAGTTGAGGAGAAAGCCCCCTACTCTGTGCCCCCATGGGTCCAGGGCTCTTTCCCCTCCTTCAGGCCACGCCCTCCCATGGAATCTCCAGAATGGAACACAGTGACTCCCCTGTAGCTGTGCCACACCCAGACCCTGCTGAGGCCCTGGGCCAAGTGGTCTCCAAGGTCTCCACAGCTCCCCTCTTGAAGGCCTGGGCTCTGCCCCTCAAGTGCACATTGAAGGGCCGGAGCAGGACGGGGTCTGCGTGGTGTGCGAGGCCTCAGGCTGATTCCCAAAGCCCCAGGTGCAGTGGACAGACCTCAGCGGGAAGAAGTTCCTGGAGTTCTCTGAGGCCCATGCCCAGGACGCAGCAGGGCTGTTCAGCGTGGAGGCGGCTCTGGTGGTGAGAGACAGCTCTGCAGGGAGTGTGAGCTGCTCCATCCTCAATCCCATCCTGGGCCAGGAGAAGGAGATGGCCGTGTCCATCCCAGGTCAGTGCTGCTTCTCATTCCTGGCAGGGCTTGGGAGGTGGTGCCGGCATCCCTGAGTGTGCGGGGTGGGCCTGGGTGCTCCCCTGACTGGGTCTCTGCCTGGGCCCCAGAGCCCTTCTTCCCGCAGGCTTCTCCCTGGAAGGCAGCTTTTGCTGGGAGCCTGATGGTGCTGGGGCTCCTGCTCTTTGGGGCTGGCTGCTTCACCAGGAGAGAGCACTCTGCAAAGCTGCAGGAGAAGGAGAAACAGGAGAAGCTGCGCCGGGCTAAGGAGGAGGACCAGAGGGCAGAGGACGAGGCACTGAAGGCCACAGGTAGGAGGCCAGTGGTCAGGCGTGGGGGTGGAGGGGGCAGCTGGTGCTGAGGAAGGATGCTGGGAGATGAGTCTGTGGGTTCCGCCCTCCAGAGCAGGTGGCTGTGGAGACTCAGACGGGACAGCTGGAGGCTGGAGTTGTGCGTGGGTCTGGAGTAAGAACTTCTCTAGGATATAGATGAGGTCGTTCCTGTGGGTTCTCCAGGCACACGGACTCTCCTTTCCTTGGGCACAGGACTTCATGATGCTTCACTCTCTTTCAGATGAGCTCCAGGCAGATCTAGGTAAGCTGTGCTCCCCCTCCTGAACTCCCCCTGTCCCTTTGTGGAGGACGCTCGGGGTCTCAGCTCACCTGTTCCCTGTGTGCTGCTCTGCAGGTCAGAGGAATTCAGCTTACCTGGGTGATGAGTGACTCTCCAGATGTCCCCTGGTCTCCTGTCCCACCTGTGCCCAGCTGTCCCCTCCTTGTCTCTGTCCAGGCACAGACATGTGGACCCCTCGTTGGTGCAGCAGTGGCAGTGGTGGTGGCAGAACCCTGCTCCCTGGGCTCTCTCACATCTGGGTGACTGTTTGCAGTCTGTGCTCCAAGACATGTGGTTGGGGGGCTGTCGCCATGGCTCACTTGGTTAATCCTCCACCTGTGGCGCTGGCATCCCATATGGGCACTGGTTTCTAGACCCAGTTGCTCCTCTTCCAGTCCAGCTCTCTGCTGTGGCCCAGGAAGGCACTGGAGGATGGCCCAAGTGCTTGGGCCCCTGCACCCGTGTGGAAGACCAGGAAGAAGCGCCTGGCTTCTGGCTTTGGACTGGCGGAGCGCCGGCCGTAGCGGCCATTTGGGGTGTGAACCAACAGAAGGAAGAACTTTCTGTTTCTCTCTCTGAAACTCTACCTGTCAAATAAATAAATCTTTAAAAAAATCAGTAAGAAGAAAAAAATTAGAAAATTAAAAATAAATAAAAAGACCTGTGGTCAATGATGGGCATGGAGTCTGCCTGCATCCTGGGTTTCTTTCCAGTCTAGACCTGTGTCCTATTTGAGAATTGTTAGTGTTTTAGCCTCCAATGCTCTAGCTCTTGACTGCACCAAAGGCATATGCCAAAAGGTGTGAGAGTTCAAAACAGGAGGCAGAGGAGCAAATGGGGTCACTGAGTTTGGGAGTGTGATTTCTGCCCCCTTCCTCCCTCCTAAGACACCACCCAGGGGGAGTCGTTCCTGTCCTGCTCCTCCAAGTTGCTGTTGAAAAAATGAATGGCAGAGGACAGGGCTGCTGACCAGGTGTGGAGATGCGATGGGATAAGCTGAGTGCTTCTCAGAGTAAGGATGCTTCTCTCTAGAATATTTTATTCTAGAGAGTTGCTGTGGTGTAGCCTGTTAAACATGTTCCTGCATTTTAGACATCCCATGTGAGTGTCGGTTCATGTCCCGGCTGCTCTACTTCTTCCAGCTCCCTTCTGATGCTCCTAGGAAAGTGGTGGAAGATGGCCTAAGTACTTGAGCTCCTGCACCCACATGAAAAACCAGGAAGAAGCTCCTGGTTTTTGCTTTTCCCTGGTCCAGCCCTGGCTTTGAGGCCATTTGGGGAGTGAACCAATGGATAAAGGATTCTTTTTTTCTCCCTCTCTCTCTCTGTAATTCTGCCTTTCAAATTAGTAAATATATCTTTTTTAAAAAACATTTTCTCATGGAATGTTTGGCCCCTTAGACTCTGGAGTTGGCCTTATATCCATATTATTTATTTTTTCTCCTTTAATTCTTCCAATATCCCTGCCAGCAAATGCTGTACATTAATTAATTGCTATCAATATTTATCATTTGTGCTTTTTTCACTATTTTAACACAGTTTTGGTCTTGACCAATAGCACTGAGGATCCAGTGACACAGGAGTCTTTATGGTCTTTGAGGCACAGGGCAGAGCGCTGACAGCCAAAGTCACCCAGCACTGGGGCAGGGGTGAAACTCAGCTGTCCTGCAGGCTTCCTGATCTGTGGTCAGGGAGTTTCCCACAATCCTCTGCTGTCTGCACCTGCAGGAGGCCCCTCCTGTGCAGCCCCTCTCCTCCTGCAGAGTCTGACCTTCAGCACAGAGGGCAGGCGAGGGCTGAGCAGGTGGTGTGGCTGTGGTCTCACCAGGGTGTGTTTCCTTCCAGCCTGGAGGAAGGCACAGCTGTATGCTGGTAAGTGATGCTGATGGCTCCTCTGTCTCCCTGCCCTGCCCCTTCTCTATCTGTGGACTCAACTCCTGATGGGCTGGGCGTCCTGCTCTCCTTGTCAGTGTTGTAGCCTCTGTGGGAAGACAACAAGGGCTCCTCCATGGGAACACAGCTCTGCTTCCATTCTGGGCCCTTTGTCTTCTGCAGGTCATGGTTAGTGTTAGCAACATCTTCTTCTTCTTCTTTTTAAATATTTATTTATTTGAAATTCAGAGTTACACAGAGAGAGAAGGAGAGGCAGAGAGAGAGAGAGAGAGTCTTCCATTCGCTGGTTCACTCCTCAATTGGCCGCAATGGCCATAGCTGTGCCGATCCAGAGCCAGGAACCAGGAACCAGGAACCAGGAACCAGGAGCCAAGAGCTTCCTTCGGGTCTCCCACGTGTGTGCAGGGTCCCAAGGACTTAGGCCTTCTACTGATTTCCCAGGCCATAGCAGAGAGCTGGATCAGAAGTGGAGCATCCGGGACTTGAAGCAGTACCCATAAGGGATGACAGTACTGCAGCCGGTAGCTTTACCTGCTATGCTAGAGAGCCAGCCCCAGCAACACCTTCTTAAACCTCTTATCCAACTGAGCCTTGTCATTGCCAGGGTGACCACAGGAGTTCAGGTGTGAGGAGAGTCTGGGGGTAACGACTGTGTAGATCAGGAAGCGCTGGTCTCCAGAATACTCAGGAAATCATGCTGCTCAGGACCCATATTTTACTAAGAGGGTCATGGGATTTGTATTCCTCTTACCCCCAAATTCCTCCCTTCATGGCTCACTTTGGTTCTCCTGGCCCTCTGGAATATGGTCTTCCCTGCTTCTTCATGCTCTGCCCACTGCCCAGCCTGGGGTTCTTCCTCTAAGTACTGGTGGTTGCTGAGGAATTAGTTACTCTGAGTAAATGTTCTAAATCCAGGAACAGAGCCTCTGGGATGTTTGTGGACAGATTCCTGGGTTGGGGTCTCTGGTATATCTGAAATTGTATGCAACGTTTGTGTACTCTGCATAAGATTAGAAAAACTTAAAATGTATTTGACATGGGTGGGTGCTGTGGTGTAGCAGGTTAAGCCACTGCCTGCAGTGCCAAAATCCCACATGGGCACAGATTCGAGTCCCAACAGCTCCATCTGATCCAGTTCCCCGCTGATGCACATGGGAAAGCAGCGGAGATGGCCCAAGTGGTTGGGCCTCTGCACCCATGTGGGAGACCAGGATGAAGCTCCTGGCTCCTGGCACTGGATCAGCCCATTTCTGGCCATTTTGGCAGTTTTGGGAGTGAACCATTGGATGGGAGATCCCCCCCATCCTGCTGTGTGTGTGTGTGTGTGTGTGTGTGTTTCTCTCTTTCTCTCTCTCTTTTTAACTCTGCCATTCAAATAAAAAAAGAATTCTTTTACAAAATATATTTCACATGCAGAGAGTGAGAGCAAGAGCAAGAGTGAGAGATATTCCATCTCCTATTTTGCTCCCTAGCTGCTAGCAACAGTCAAGGCTAGGCAAGGCCAAAGCCAGGAGCTGGGACCTCAATCCATGTTCCCTCATGCATGTCAGCAACTCAGCCCCTCAGTGCTGCCTCCAAGGGTCTTCACTGGCCAGAAGCTGGAGCCTGTAGCCTGAGCTGGGGATTAACCCAGATTCTTCAGTTTGGATGCTGGGTATTTTAACCACTAAGCTAAATACCTGCCATGTTTTTTACAAATAATATTTTTTGAATAAGAATATGGAGGATGGAAGAGGAGAGAGAGAGGGAGAGAGAAAGAGAGAGAGAGAGAGAAAGAGAGAGAGACTGACTTGCATTGGCTGCATTGGCTGTTCCATTCCCCAAATATTCACAATGGCCAGGGACCTTTTTGAACTGTGCTGTAGCAAAGTCAGGAGCTGGAAACCCAATATTGATCTCCTACATGGTTGGCACCAATTTGATGCATCATTTACTGCTTCCAAGGATGTGCTTTGGCCAGAAGCTGAAATTAGGAGATGGAGCTGGGAATCAAACCCAGGCACTCTGACATTGAATAGACATCTTAGCCCCTGTCTTTGCTGGAAGGCCAAATCCCTGCCCCTGAGGAGTGTGTGTGTGTGTGTGTGTGTGTGTGTGTGTGTGTGTGTTTACAAGAATAAAGCATGTAATATGTGATTGGTCACTATGATTTTCTCACACCTCAGAAGAATGCTGTATTTGTTGAGAGCTCAGGCCCTGGTTTGATTTTTTATGGGCAATATATACACACTGGAAAAGGAGAAACATAGAAAGGTAGAAGTTGTAGGCCGGTGCCGCGGCTCACTAGGCTAATCCTCCGCCTTGCGGCGCCGGCACACCGGGTTCTAGTCCAGGTTGGGGAGCCGGATTCTGTCCCGGTTGCCCCTCTTCCAGGCCAGCTTTCTGCTCTGGCCAGGGAAGGCAGTGGAGGATGGCCCAAGTGCTTGGGCCCTGCACCCCATGGGAGACCAGGATAAGTACCTGGCTCCTGCCATCAGATCAGCGCGGTGCGCCGGCCACGGCAGCCATTGGAGGGTGAACCAACGGCAAAGGAAGACCTTTCTCTCTGTCTCTCTCTCTCACTGCCCACTCTGCCTGTCAAAAAAAAATTGTTATCTAGAGAAAGGACAGCAAGCAAACCTTAGGAGAGAAGAACATGTGGGGAAGAGAAGAGGAGGTGAGGGAGAAAGTGAGTGCTGTGCAGGTGGCTCAGAGTGACTGCAGTGGCTGAAGGCCCAGCCCTGGTGTTGGAATGTAGGGAGTGTGCAGAGGGTTCACAGGGCTTGGGTGTA